CTGTTGTATCTTTTTCAGGTTTAGGAATTAAGGTGATGCAGGCTTTATATAAGGAGTTTGGGAGGATTCCCTCCATTTCAGTTGTTTTGAATAGCTTGAGAAGAATTGGAGTTAGTTCTTTAAATGTCTGGTAGAATTCAGCAGTGAAGCCATGCAGTCCTGGGCTTTTCTTTTTTGGGAGTGTCTTTTAATTACTCATTCCTGGTTTGTTTAGATTTTCTAAACAATTTAGGTAGGTTTATGTGTCCAGGAATCTATCCATTTCTTCTAGGTTTCCTGATTTGCTGGCATACAGCTCTTTGTAATTTCTTTTGATTCTTTTTATTTCTGTGGTATCTCTTGTTACCTTCTCTTTTTCATTTCTAATTTTATTGATTTGGGACTTCTCTCTCTCTCTTTTCAGTTAGTTGAGCCAGTGGTGTGTCAATTTTGTTTATTTTTTTTAAAAAAACTAGCTCTTTGTTTTGTTGATCATTTGTATTTTTTGTTTCAATTTTGTTTATTCTCTAATTTTAATTATTTCCTTTCTTCTACTAATTTTGGGTTTGGTTTGCTATTGTTTTTGTAGGTTCTTGAGATGCATTGATAACTTGTTTTTTTGGTGCCTTTCCAATTTCTTGATGTAGGTACCAATTGCTGCAAACTTTCCTCTTAACACTGCTTTTGCTGTATCCCATAAGTTTTGATATGTTGTATTGTCATCTTCATTTGTTTCCAGAAATTTTTTGATTTCTTTTTTGATTTCTTATATGACCCACTATTCATTCAGGAGCATGTTCAGTCTCCATGTGTGTGCGTATGTTCTAGAGATTCTTGAGTTGCTAATTTCCAGCTTAATTCCATTCTTCCGAGATGATGCATGGTATAATTTAGATTTTTTTTGAATTCGCTGAGACTTGCTTTATGGCCTAGCATGTGGTCTATCCTAGAGCAAATTCCACACACTGATGAGAAGAATGTATATTCTGCCATTGTGGGGTGAAAAGTTCTGTAGATATCTATTAGGTCCATTTGGTCTATAGTGTTGATTAACTCTGTTGTTTCTTTGCTGATTTTCTGTCTGGTTGATCTGTCCGTTGCTGAATGTGGGGTATTGAAGTCCCTGTAACTATTGTATTGGAGGCTGTGTCTCCCTTTAGATCCATTAACATTTCTTCTTAATGGCCAGGTACCCTGTATTTGGGTGTGTATATGATTATTATAGTCACATCTCCCTGTTGTATTGATCCCTTAATGATTACATAGTGTCTTTTTAATTTTGTTTATTTTTAAAAAATTTTATTTATTTATTTGACAGGCAGAATTACAGTGAGGCAGAGGCAGAGGTAGAAATCTTTACTAAGTAAAGATTTTACTAAGTAAAGATTTCAACAGTTTGCATCCACACAGATACACAAAGTATAAAGTGCTGTTTGAGTACTAGCTTTACCGTTAATTCGCATAGTACAACACATTAAGGACAGAGATCCTACATGGGGAGTAAGTGAACAGTGACTCCCGTTGTTGATTTAACAATCAACACTTTTTTTTTTTTTTGACAGGCAGAGTTAGAGAGAGAGAGAGAGACAGAGAGAAAGGTCTTCCTTTTCTGTTGGTTCATCCCCTAAATGGCTGCTGTGTCCTGTGCACTGCAGCCGGCATGCTGCGCTGATCTGAAGCCAGGAGCCAGGTGCTTCCTCCTGGTCTCCCATGCGGGTTCAGGGCCCAAGGACCTGGGCCATCCTCCACTACCTTCCCGGGCCACAGCAGAGAGCTGGACTGGAAGAGGAGCAACCAGGACAGAATCTGGTGCCCCAACTGGGACTAGAACCCGGGGTGCCTGTGCCACATGTGGAGGGTTAGCCAAGTGAGCCGCGGCGCTGGCCAACACTCTTATTTATGATGTCAGTAATCACCCAAGGCTCTTGTCATGAGCGCCAAGGCTATAGAAAACTCTTGAATTCACAAACTCCAACCTTATTTAGTCAAGGTCGTACACATTTTAGAATCTTTTCTTTATGTTTTACTATGGAGAGTTTGACTACAGTGTGTCATGGTGAAGATCTTTTCTGGTCATGTCTATTAGGAGTTCTATGTGCTTCCTGTACTTGGATGTCCTTTCTTTCTCTAAATTAGGGACATTTTCTGTAATGATTTCACTAAAAAGGCCTTTTAATCCATTCTCTTTTCATGTCTTTGGAATTCCTAAGACCTGTATGTTGGGTCATTTAATAGTCCATAAATCTCCTACACTCTTTTTTAGTTTTCTGATTTCTTCTTTTTTTTTTGATCTGACTGTAAAATTTCTAGAGATTTGTCTTCTAACTTGGATATTCTTTCTTCTGCCTCACAGAGTCTGTTTTGAAGGCTTTCCACCACATTTTTATTTGATCTATTAAATTCTTCATTTCTAATATTTCATTTTGATTTCTCTTTAAAATCTCAATTTCATGGGAAATATTTTTATTCATGTCAAGTGTGGATTTCTTTAATTCATGGATTTGCCTCTGATTACTTATGAGTAATTCTATGATCAATTTTTTGAATTCTGTTTCCGGTGTTCCTTTAATCTCTTTATCTTCTTGTTCTAGTACTGATAGGGATGTCATGTTGTCTTCCTTATTCTTATTTCTTGAATTGCTGCATTTATTTTTAGGCATTTGTTGGAGATACTTCTTAGTTTATTTTTTTTTTCCTTGTGATGGCCTTTATCTTTGAACTATGCCTCTGTGGCTTAATGGAGTATCTGCTCATTCAGTGAATATCCAGAGGTATGTGCTGATTGTCACCAGCGAGCCCTGTTCAGTGCTCCAGGGTGAGGGGCGTGTCCAAGGTGACATTGAAGTTGGGTGTGTTAAATCTCCCTTTTTTTTTTTTTTTAAATCAGAGGGCAGGTTTGATGAGCTCTGTTGGCTTAGTTTCGTGCTTACTCCCTCTCCTCCAAGGAAATCAATGCCTGTGTGCTAGCTGCAGTGGGTACAACATTCATCCATGCTGCCATAAGAGCCACACAAATGATCTGTGCAGTCGTCAGTGTGATCCTGTAGCAGTGACCCTCACCAGGGAATCAGGGAGCCCCGAGCGTGTGGAGCTGCCTACAGTGACTGCCCAAAGACCCAGCCATACTCTGTGCCCTCACATGCAGCCACAGTGTTTTCACAGTCTATTCCAGCACACAGGGCTCTCACAGTCATGAGTGCCCAGCCCCTGTCAGTTCTCCCAGCCAGACTTAGACACCTCCTCTCGTCTGGTTGCTGGAGGCAGACACAAGGTGCACAGTTGTTATGTATGTTCAAAATGGCACCCTCCCTCTCTCAGTTGGTTACAGGATGTTGGTGCTGGGTGGTTGGGGAGAGCAAAATGTGTCCTCCCTTTTTTTCTCCTTTAGTTTGACAGGTACACTGTCCCCCACAGGGCTCCAAACCAGATTCACACCAGGCTCTTCCTGCAGCTTTCCTAACATTTTTAAATGAAATTTTTAAATACGCAAAAAACATGAAAAAATGTCATAGCAATCAAGCCTATCCCTATCACTTAGTAGCTACCATTCTCATTCTACTGTACTTGCTCTATAATACTTCTGCCCATCTTCCTGTCTTTCTGTCCATTCACTAATTCATCTTACTTTTTGATGTATTCCAATGTATTTGCAGACATCAGTACTGCTCTCTCTAAATTGTTGTTGTTTACCATTTTATTGGTGATAACATTTCTTACATTTTCCTCGTATTCTTAACCATATTGATAGCTTTATAGCTGCTTCTGTTACTGGAAAATCTCCCCATAAGCTATATGTGGACAAAACTTATTTGCAAAAATTAGAATGTATTTTTAGGATTTCAGCTTTCATATGAAAATAATTAACAATCAGACGTAGTAGATGTGTATTGCTGAGTCACCACAAACATTGGCTTCAAACATCAGCAAACTTTTATTCCTACGGTTTCTGTGGGTGAAGTGTTTGGGAGCAACATAGCTGGGCATTTCTGACTTTGGATTTTGGGTCTCATGAGGTTGCTATCAAGATGTCAGCCAGGGCTGAAGGCTTCACTTGGGCTGGGGGACCCTCTGTGGGGGTGGCTTAAGCTCTCATCTGTAACATGGTTGGTGATAGTTTGTGGGAGGCCCCAGTTTCTCCCCATGGCCTCTCCACAGGTGCTGTCATCATGTAACAGCTGGCCTCCTGCAGAGTGAGTAGTGAGAGAGATACAGAGAAACATGTAGAAGCTATTCTCTTTGTGACATGGCCTCATTCTAAGCTTTAGATGCAAGTCACTAAGTCTGGAGAGTTAGGCTCTTATTTTTTGAAGGGAGGAAGGTCAGAGAATTTTTGGATATATTTTAAAATCAAGTAGTATAGCTCATGTTGGGTTTGAATCTCTGCTGGTGACCCGCAGTAACTTCCTTAACCCCTCTGGCCCCTGTTTCCTTGTATGTGAAATGGTTTTAACAAAATGACCCACCTGTAGGATTATTGTGATGTGTACACTGCTTAGCATGGCTTCTGGCCTGCTAATGCTGGGAGGTGAGATTTCTGTTGGTGGTGTTAGGAAAAGTAGCAGCAGCATCACCCTTACCTATCTGTGCCACACGATGAGCAAGGGCCAGGAAGAGAATGCATCCCAGAAGAGCCAGAGAGAGTATGGTAAAAGAACAGGCCTTGTGCAAATGTACCTTTTCCTGGCTGACTGCCTCAGATAGGGAGAGCATGGTTAAGAATGTTGAAGGATGTTAGATGTTCTGAACCAGAGAGATTTGTAACTGGACTAGGAAATGGCAAGATGACTGCTGATGACAGAGGCTCATGGTGTGTGGCCCCCCATTCCCGGGGCCCTGCCCTGTCCTTCAAGAACAAACTATGGGACATTAAAAGAGGGAAAACAAATGATTTGACTTGGATGCCTAGGAGGGGCAAATTTTTCAACATTGCAATTACTTTAGACAATATTCTATACTTAATTTTTTTTTCCTAACTTGTAAATAAAACATTCTGGATTCTGTCATCTCTTCTTTCTCCCCAGATACCCCTGAACAGTGCAGATGAGATGTATGAGCTACGTGTGACCGGGCGTGCCCAGGATGAGATTTTATTCTCTAATAGTACCCGCTTATCATTTGAGACCAAGAGAATATCTGTCTTCATTCAAACAGACAAGGCCCTGTACAAGCCAGCACAAGAAGTGAAGTTTCGGGTTGTTACACTCTTCTCAGATTTCAAGCCTTACAAAACTTCTCTAAACATTCTACTTAAGGTAAGTGCCAAACAGACGGGAAGCAGGGCATCCAAGCCGTCTTCCTAGAAAGCTCTCTCGGACAGTTCTGCTCCTGTTACAGACGCTGGAACATCTTAGAATGCACCAAAGGTGAGCTCCCTTCTTTCTAGGAAAGGAGGTGGCAGAGCGCCGCGGTAAGAGCCCGGGCTCCGAAGTTTCCCAGTTTGAGTTCCAGTCCTGGATTCTTCACTGATGTATTCGTTGCTCAGACATTTAGTGACCTTCTGTGTCCAGGCATTGGGATAAGACGGGGAACAGAACAGATTCCAGCCCTTGCTCACATTAAGTTTATTTTTCAGAGGGTATTGAGGAGACGGACAATAAATGAATACACAAATATATGTTTACTTACATTCATATTCATATATCCAGGGGTGTGTGTGTGTGTGTGTAAGTGAGAGAGAGAGAGAGAGAGAGAGAGAAAGAAAGAGAAAGAGTGAGACAGTGAGTTTTGGTTTGATATTTTCTGTAGGGATGTCAGGAAAGACCTGAGCAGAGACCTCAAAGAAATATAAGAATGAACCCACACAAACAGGGAGCAGAGTGCACAAAGGTCCTGAGGTGTGTGCTCATCTGGTGCAGTCAAGGAACAGCAGGCTGGCAGTGCATTGGAGCCCAGGGAGTGAGGGGACAAATATCAGGAAATGAGGTCAGATACAGGTAGGTAGGCTGGGAGTTGGGCTCATAATGAGTCCGGGTGACCAAGGTATAGACTTCAAGTTTGACATGGAGTGTAATGGGAATTCACTGGAGAATTTTGACGGGCAGCATGATGTGATCTGACTTAACATCCTAAAAGAATCACTGTCGAGTCTAAGAGGAATAATTACAATCTGTGTGACCTTGAGGAAATTAACTTTATCTGTAAAATGTGTAAGTGTGTAACAGTAATAGCTCACGGAAGTTTTGTGAAGCTTGAGATAATTCAGTTAAAACATTTAGAACCATGCCTGGTGCATGATACCTGCTCACTGGACACTGGCTATCATGATTGCAGTGACTCCCTTTGACAGGGCGTCACTTGGCTTCTGCTGCTTGACCATCCTGATGATTTGGAGGCAGCCATTTAGCAGACCGGGTGTTTCCTCAGGAGAATCAAGACCAAGAGAAATTGAGCATTACATCAAAATAGGGTGATTAACTCATCCCAGTTTACCTGGGATACCCTGATTGTAAAACTGAAAGTCCCTGGTCCTGGTGACTTCCTCCACCCTGGGACATGGGGTACCCTAATTGTTCCAAGGAATGCACTATGTAGAAGGTAAACCTACGCTTTTAGCTTGGTGTTTTCCTATTATTCTTAGTTTCTTTGGTGTTATGAATGAATGAAAACAACAGTAAGAACAAAATCCAATCAATCAAACAGGTACACACATAGCTTCAAGCTAAGGCATATTTGTAGTAAATACCACATAGGCTGGCATGGTGCTTAGGGTTTGTTTCTTCAGTCTAACTGGTATTCTTGCAGCTCTGTGAATTTCTGCCTTATGTAATAGGATGTCTATGGGGAAGGTTGACATAGTGGATAGCGTTTCTGAATTCCTGTGATTCTGAGTGGGGGTGAACTGACTTCATTCACACCATCCTTCATCTTACTCACTTATACTGAGAACTTACTCTGTGTCACGCACTGTGTAAGGTAGATGATTTACAAATAGATGTCTGTCTGTCTCTAGATGTTCACATTTAATCCTCCTTTCTATCTCAGACAAATAGAAGTTATTGCTGGGTTGATTGCCTATTTTAAACCGTAAACCTAGAACTAACCTTGATGATTTGGACAGCTTATTTGTGCATTTTTATAAATCTTGCCTCTGCTCAACTCTGGTATCTGCCTTTGAAACCTGCAATTTGTAGTTGTTTTGGGTTCTTTTGTCCAATTTTGGACTTAGCCTGCCACATTTGGCTGTTATGGAAAGACTCAGTAAGACCTTCTTTTGCTAGCTCTGGACTGAGGGATCCTACTGGCCTGGCCAACATGAGGCCCTCCTGGCCAGAAGAAGGGAACAGGGAATGAAGGGCGGCCATACACCCTCTCTGTACCTGGGCGGTGAAGCTCGGAATTGGACCCTGGCCTAGCCAACTCCATCTTGCAACTTCCTGAGGCCAGGCCAGACCATTGATGTGAATGTCACACTGTTGTACTCTTGTAGCTGAAAACAGTCTTTTGGGCTAGGGTTCGCTAGGCTGTAGCGTTTTCTAACATCTTTCAGTGTGGAATAATTGGTTTCTTGGCAAAATTTCCCCCCCAAAAATGAGACTTGTGGAACTAGAGCCCCTGACTAAGATAAAATTGTGCTTCTACACAGCACTGCCTTTGGGCTAATAAGGAGAAGTGCATCTGCGCACTGACAGGCCAGCTTTTTGGGCCCCATTGATGGCTGTGGAATGTAGCTAATGTTGAATGTCACAGCAGACTCAGGGATGCTCTTTTTTGGGGGGTGGGGTGGGATGAGAGAGTATCATTGGTCCTATCCATTTTTCCTGCCCTAGTAATTGACCATCTCAGGAAGAAAGGGATTTCAGAGGCTTTATGGCAGTGGAAAAAACCCTATGTGCTCTCTGCAGCCCTCATTCTGGCCTCCTCCAGCCAATGTGGCCTAACCCTCTGGAAACATGTGCTTCTGATGCTGTGATGACAGATGGTATGGCTGGCTTCTCCCTTCTCTCTTCCTTTAAAAAAATTGTTGTTCCTGGTGCAGGGGAATGACTTTGTATGGAACAGATGTTATTGACCAGGGGTGCTATATCTTGTGACTGTGACCTGACTCTCTGGCCTGGAGCAGCAGTGACAAACTCAGAACTTCAGCCCTGGCCAGCTAAGGTGCCTCCTCGTTCTAGTTCTGCATGCCATAGACACTTACTTCCTACCTAATCCAGGACTCGGGAAATAGTCCTTGTGGACCCGTTCTGCAGGCAGCAGATTTAGTGCTCACGATAGTCTGGCAAAGGTAGCAGGTACTGTGCTATGGCAGGTAAGTGACAGAGAGCCAGAGCCATCCAGAAGTGACCCAGAGGGCACAGGCATCCAGTACCGCAGTGTTGAGAGCACACAGCTAGCTGCTGTCTTGTGCGTGTCCCAGCAGGAGATGACCCCGTCCGAATGCTGGGTTCCACTGTGAGGAGCCTGCGCACGATCTCTCCACGTGCTGCTGCGCTCTGGAAGGGCGCCTGATGTTCTGCATTCTCTCTGTCTTCCTTGTTGGTGACAGTAAGGCCCAGGCCCAGGCCAGCCTTAGGAAACACAGGGATCGTCCTCATTCTCTCCCATTCCTCCAGATCCCCCAGGTGCAAAGTCACCCAGGATGTCAGGTCAGACTCCTTCGATTTGAAGGGCCGTGCAGCTGTGTGCGAGAAGTGGGCGCTTTGAGCACAGTAATCCATCAGCAGAACGTGGGCATGCCCTATCCCTGCCTTTGGGTCACCCAAGAGTTACGGATATTATTACTATTTTTTTGTTTTTGTCAGGCTGACACAAGAAAGGCAGTATTTCATTGTTTTCATTTGCAGTCCCCTAGTGACTTGACAGCATATATTTATTAGCCATTTGTAGTTCTTCCTTTGTTCTGGATCCTTGAAACTCTATGGCTTCCCATGCATCATGCTGTGGCAGGCGGTGTAGAGCCAGCTGCTGGTTACAATGCCTGACCCAGGAGTTTGCTAAGGATACTGTGACCTGTGTATTCTAACCAGCATCTGGTTGCTAGATTTTTAATAGTAATCATTGTCTCTGACTTACTTGACTACTCCCAATTCAGTTCTCAGCATTATGCTTGCTCCCAGCTTTCACACCCTCTTCTAGGAGAGAGGCTTCTTTTGGCTTCTAATAACTGGGCCAACTCGCTCCTTCCTGTCAAAGGACATAGGATAGAGAATAAGAGTAAGGGAAAGTATTAGATCCCTGCTCTCAAAAGTTTAGAATCTAGTTGGGAATCAAAACCTTTTTAGTGTGTGTGAAATAAAATATGTAAAAGAAACACATGGTGCTTAATATGGGTGAACTCCAAGTGCAGGAGGAGTTCTCCAGGAAGTGGTCACTTCTGCCTGTTTTTAGGCAGGTGTAGAAAGCAGAAACTGGAGCTCATTTCCCGAGTGGGCAAGGAAGGGAGGACATTCCAGGCAGCAATTGCAAGAGGCTACTGCATGGGATTTTTGGGTGAACTGCAAACAAGTCTGTATTTTTGGGCAAGGATGAATCTAGAAATGTTGATGGGGTCAGATTGCTAATGACCTTGTAAACTGTGCAAAGGAGGGTAGACTTTCCATAGGCAAACAAAAGTCATCGTGTCATAGTAGAGTAGTGTAATGATTGTAACCTGTTTATTCATTGCTTGTTCTAAGCCAGGAACTGTGCCCAGTGTTTCAGCCACTGTGCCTCATTCTCAAGTGTGTGTTCCAGATGGGTCACAGCGTGGGCAGGGGCAGGTGGAGAGATGTGTCAGAGGCTGTGAGACTGGGGGTGCAGGTCAGTTATATTCATTAGAGAACGGGGTATGTGCTAGATGTGAAGAAGACAAGAAGCAGACAAGATGGAGAGAGGAAATGAGACAGAGGTGACAGGTGCTGGGAATGTGAGCTAGGAATCTGAGATGGCTGCTGTGATGGCTTGGATGAATGCTGCAGGAAGGAATAGTGGCCTGGAGGTGATGGGAAGACTGTGGTATTGATTAACATGCCTCAGTGTACTTTGTTGAGTTAAAAGATAGTCAGATAGTCATGGATTTGAATCCTGAGTTCCATCACATACTAGTGCCATAAATTGGGTCATGCCATTTACATACAATTGAGTGCTCACCAGGATTTAATTTTTTCAACTATCAAGTGAGAATACTCCTATCCTGAAGGAGAATTAGGGGTAGAGGTAAGGCAGAGGGCTTGACGCATAGTGGGCCTTTAATAACTGGTCTTTGTAGTGGGATTTTTTACCATCACCATTGCTGCCATAGGTCTGAAGGTGCACTTGTTGTATTTTATGTAGAAAAAAAATATGGTGACATGTATTAAAAGGTTGGGCAGAATCAAGATATTTTTGGAATAAATGTGAGGAACAAATTTGTATTTTTCTTCTGAAGTAGTCCAGGCCAGACATTTCCCCAAAACTATCTTAGTGCCATATTTTGTAGCAAGTTCTGGAAGAAGTGCCTGAGTTTGCTGCAAAGCATTTTTTTTTTTTTTTGACAGGCAGGAGTGGAGAGTGAGAGAGACAGAGAGAAAGGTCTTCCTTTGCTGGTGGTTCACCCTCCAATGGCCGCCGCGGCCGGCGCGCTGCAACCAGCGCACCGCGCCGATCCGATGGCAGGAGCCAGGTATTTATCCTGGTCTCCCATGGGGTGCAGGGCCCAAGCACTTGGGCCATCCTCCACTGCACTTCCGGGCCATAGAAGAGAGCTGGCCTGGAAGAGGGGCAACCGGGACAGAATCCGGTGCCCCAACCGGGACTAGAACCCGGTGTGCCGGCGCCGCAAGGCGGAGGATTAGCCTAGTGAGCCGCGGCGCCGGCCAGCATCTTTCTTAACCAGACAGGAGTCACATATATGTGGGCAGCCTTTTGTAACACATAGAGTTGACATGTCTGGTTTCCATTCAGGACCCCAAGTCCAATTTGATCCAACAGTGGTTGTCGCAGCAAAATGATCTTGGAGTGGTTTCTAAAACTTTCCAGTTATCTTCCCATCCAATAGTTGGTGATTGGTCCATTCAGTTCAGTGAATGTGAGTATGATTGCATATTTTTTTTGGAATATTAAAATGATTTTAATACGCCAGGTGGGTGAAATAGCTCCAAAACCACTTATTCAATGAACAGAGAAAAATGAATATTAACTTCTAGACAATTTAAGAGGCTTATTTTTAAGTTTGCTGTTTATCGATGGCTTAACCTTCATTGTAGCCTATTAAAGTTTTAATAATTTTTATCTTTTTCTGTAATATAATGTTTGAAGTTTAAAACATTTTGGCATATGGTATAAAACTAGGTATTTACTTATTATTGTTTACATTGAGTGTTTTAAAAACTAAGTGATGAGTGCATAGGTATTAATTGGCAAGCTCCATATCTCAGAACGATGGCTCCAGGTTGGATTAACTTACTTGTCTTTGTTTAAGAAACAGTGACTTAAAAAAGGCACATCACCATCTGTTCCTCATCCTTCCTTCTCCTAACTCCTGTACTGACTTTAATAATTTTTTAAAGATTTATTATTTTTTATATTGAAAGGCAGAGTTACAGAGAGGCAGAGGCAGAGAGAGACAGAAAGGAGGAGAGAGAAGAGCGAGAGAGAGAGAGAGGTCTTCCATCTGCTAGTTCACTCCCAGATAGCCACAATGGCTGGAGCTTCGCTGATCCAAAGCCAGGAGCCAGGAGCCTCTCCAGGTCTCCCATGCGGGTGCAGGAGACTTAGGCCATCTCCCATGCGGGTGCAAGGACTTAGGCCATTCCCACTGCTTTCCCAGGCCATAGCAGAGAGCAGATTGGAAGTGGAGCAGCCAGGACTTGAACCGGTGCCGATTTGGGATGCCAACACCACAGGTGACGGCTTTACTTCGCTGCACCACAGCTCCGGCCCCTCCCTACACTGACTTTATTTGCTGCCAACTTGCATAGCTTTGAATCTAGGAGGGCAGGGCCATTGTCAGGTGCTCCTTCTCCTCTGTGCCCAGGCTTTTCATCTCTGTACTTACTCCTGAGTGATAATCAAAAAAGTCATTGAAATGTTTTCCTGCTTTTCTTCTGAAATTAATTATATATATATTCGTTCATAAGAGATTTAAATATAATTCTGTTTAGAACAGGGCTTCTCAGTATTGATATTTTGGATAAAAACTCCTTGTTGTGGCTGCTGTCCTGATCTTGGAGGTACTTAGCAGCATCTCTGACCTCTACCACAAGATGCCAGTAGTAGTTTCCCCTCTTCCTATGTTGTGACAATCCAGACTCTCCCCCCAGACATTGCCAGCTGTGCCCTGGGGCACACACCCTCCTCCTGTTCTTCTGAGAACCACTGGTATGAGAAGGAAGTAGTCATACACGAGTATAAGACCCTGAGAGAAGGTACAAGTACCAGGACTTCAGATGTGCCCTGCTTTGGTTACCAGCATTGCCGCTGCAGTTCTATAAAAAATAGATTCTGTTAAACTCCGTTCTGGATGAGGGCGATGAAGCTTGGAGAAGTTTAGCAGCTAGGCACTGGAAAGTGAAGAAGCAGCATTTGCACTTTGGTCACCGATGCAAAGCCCAGGCTCCCAACTGACCCCATGACCCCAAGTTCATACAGGGATGCCTGGAGTCTGGGTTAGAAGATATAAACGCTGTAAGACGTAGGAACCCTAATTTAATTTCACAGCAGCCTCTCTTAGGTCAGTTTAAAAATACGATAATTACTAGGTTATACATATGAAATTGTGATTTTTGTAGGCCAGAAGTGCCAAATATCAACATTTAAAAAATGTTTTAACCTAAATTAGACAACTTTCCTACAGATGAATATGTGTCATTGATAATAGAAGCCTTGGCAAACAAATGGAAATATATAAAGGAACAGCCAGGTGAAGAACTTAGCTTATTTTTTTGAAATATTGAAACATTTAATATTCTTGATTCTTTATGTGTCTTACTTTGCTCTATAAATTGAGTCTTCATCATTAAAAAGGAGGATATTGGGGTAAACCTCTGGCCTGGTGGTTATGATGCTCACATCCTGGCTTCAATAACCAGTTCCAGCTCCTGATTTGAGCTTCCTGGTACTTCTGACCCCAGCGATGACGTCTGAAGTGGTTTTGTTCCTGATGCAGGCCTGTGTTGGAGACCTGGACTGAGTTCTGACACCCAGCTTCCACCCCAGCTGAGGGCTGTTGTGGACATGTGGGGAATGAGGCAGTGGAAAGGAGCTTTTCCTTATCTAGCTGTCTCTGGCTTTCACATCATAAATGCAAAATAAAAAGGAAGGATATTGATTTTGACCCATGCTATGCCATGGATGAATCTTGGAATATTTTTGTGAATGAAAGGACAATCCTGGAGATTCTACACATTTAGTATGAGAGTACGCGGAGTAGTCAGAATTGTGGAAGCAAAAGTAGAGTGATGCTTGCTGGGACTGTGGCAGGGGGAAACAGAGTGGTTAAATTTCAGGATTTTAAAAAAGATTATTTATTTGAAAGTCAGAGTTATAGGGAAGGAGGGGCAGAGGCAGGGAGAGGAGAAAAAGAGAGAGAAAGAGAATGAGAGATATCTTCCATCTGCTGGTTCACTTCCCAAATGGCTGCAATGGTCAGGACTGGGCCAGGCGAAAGCCAGGACCCAGGAGCTTCATCCGGGTTTCCCGTGTGATTGCAGGGCCCAAGCACTTGGAACATATGCTACTGTTTTCCCCAGGCACATTAGCAGGGAGCTGGATTGGAAGAGGAGCAGCCAGGACATGAACCGGCACCCATATGGGATGCCAGCACTGCAGGCAGTGGCTTTTCCTGCTGTGCCACAGTGCCGGACCCTAAATTTGAGTTTAAATTTCAGTTGTCAAATTTCAGTTTTGCAAATGTGCAACAACTCTTGAGAACTTGTTCAACAATGTGAAAATGTTTAGCACTGCTGAACAGTATGCTTAAGAATGGTGTACATTTTATGTGCTATATATTTAACTACAATTAGAAAAGTAATAGGAATTAGGGCCGTTATTGTGGTGTAGGGGGTAAGCTACTGCCTGCAACATTGGCATCCCATATGCACGGTGGTTGGAGTCCTGGCTGTTCCACTTCTCATCCAGTTCCCTGCTATGCACCTGGGAAAAGCAGCAGAGATGGCCTGAATGTTTGGGCCCCTGCAGCCACATGAGAGACCTGGATGGAGTCCTGGCATCTGGCTTCATCCTGGCCTAGCCCTGACTGTTGTGGCCAGTTGGGGGTGAACCAGCAAATGGAAGATCTCTCCCTATCCATCCTCCTTCTATAATTCTGCCTTTCAAATCAATCAATCAATCATCTTGGAAGAAAGTATAGGACTTAACTCTATGCGATATAATTGGTCATTAAGTGTATGACATATCGCATTTATTCTTTGTAATATATTTTATGACACACAAATATATAATATATGAATCTCATTTCAGTTTTCATGAACTTTTGGAAACACCTTCACCTACCTTTAAACTTTTTTTTTTTTAAGTTTTTTAAAAATTTATTTGAAAGGGAGAAGAGAGAGATATCGTCCATCTGCTGGTTCATCCCTAAATGGCATGGAACTCCCTCTGAGTCTCCCATGTGGGTGTCAGGGACTCAAGCACTTGGGTCGTCTTCTACTGCTTTCCCAGGCTCATTAGCAGGGAGTTGGATCAGAAGTGGAGCAGCTGGGACTCAGACTGGCATTCATACGGGATGCCAGTGTCGTAGGTGGTGGCTTAACCTGCTCTGCCATGACACCAGCCCCTACTTTAAGTTTCTTAAGCTCCGAGATTGTCTCATTTCAGAGTCTTTCCTTAAGTTGGGTCCCTGCCTGGAATGCTATTTTTTCTGCTGTTCTCTAGCTACTTATTTTTACTCTTTACATTCTCATGGCACTCGGTGCTCCTCTTGGTTTCCATGTCACTTTTCATTGGTGTAGCTGATTGAATGTTCTGGTTGTAAAGATGGTGACCTTTGGTTTGCTCACCTCTATTTGTGGGACCTAGCTCAGTACCTTGCACATAGAGGAAAGTCTTTATTAAATGAATGTACAAAAGTTATCATTTGTGTTTAAGCAGCATTTTTCATGTTTTCAATTTTATAAACCATCTTAACATTTGAACATGAGAATACTGATCAAATACTTATTATTGATAGAATGTTAAGTTGAGACACATAGCAAAGAAAAAGCAAGGTCCTTTAAAATAATCATATAAGCAACTGACTGAACCCAAAAAGGAAACCTCCTGAAGTGAAATGGACACTATGAGAAATGGTGACTTGATCATCATAGCCCTGACTGCTAATGGACAACTTAATACATTATCCCTCATAGTATTTTTTTGTCTGTTCTACTTAATATGACTGTTTAATTCTGTAATTATCACACAGTTTATTCTTAAGTGTTGAAAATTAACGAAATGTGATCCCTGTTAAACATAAGAGTGGGAATAAGAAGGAAGAGATGTATAATTGGGCATGCTTGGGCGGACTTGTCCCCAATTGGTAGAGTTGGAAACATACCAGGGGATTCCAATTCAATCCCATCAAGTGGCATGTGCCAATGCCATCTCACTATTCCAAGTGATCAATTTCAGTCACATTGATCATAATGAAAGGACTAAGAGTCCAAAGGAGCCATAAACGAAGTCTAGTATCTGCTAACACTAACCGATAAATAAATAAAGGGAGAGTGATCCAACATGGGAAGTGAGATATTCAGCAGACTCCTAGAATGGCGGATGTCTAAATAGCACTCTGGCCTCAGATCAGCCCTAACAGGCACGTTCGGATCTGGCTGAAAAGCCCATGAGAATATTTCAGGCATGGAAAGCCAAGACACTCTGGCAAAAAGATCTCTGTGAGTGAGATCCCAGGTGGAAAGAACAGGTCTTCCAAGAGGGAGGTGCCTTTCTCTGAAGGGAGGAGAGAACCTCCACTTTGACTATGACCGTGTCTAAACAAGATAAGAGTCGGAGAACCAAGGGGCTTCCATAGCCTTGGAAACTCATGACTGGTGCATAGGGAGATTACTGATGCCAATAAACAGGAGTGTCAATTTGTAAAGTCAACACAGGAGTCACTGTGCACTTACTCCTCATGTAGGATCTCTGTCCTTAATGTGCTGTACACTGAGGCTTAATGCTATAACGAGTACTCAAACAATATATTTCACTTTGTGTTTCTATGGGGGTGCAAATGATTGAAATCTTACTTAATGTACACTAAAACTGATCTTCTGTAAAAAAAAAAAAAAAAAAGAAATTCATCAATTCCAACTTGACTCTCACTGGGATTAAACATGACAATAGGTCTGATCTGATTTCATCAATCATTAAAAAAAAATCATCTATTATTTTTCACTTTATGTTTCTGTGTGGGAGCAAACTGTTGAAATCCTTACTTAAGGTATACTAAGCTGATCTTCTGTATTGAAGATAATCGAAAATGAATCTTGATGTGAATGGAAGGGGGAGAGGGAGTGGGAAAGGGGAGGGTTTGTGGGTGGGAGGGAGGGACAGTATGGGGGGGGAAGCCATTGTAACCCATGAGTCGTACTTTGGAAATTTATATTCATTAAATAAAAGAAAAAAAAAATTAAAAAAAAAAAAGAAAAAAAAGTCATATAAGGGCCACCAGGGGGCAGTCTAATCAAGAATATTATGAGATGCAGCCCTGGACTCAGACTGGTTTTTGTCTTTCCTCGGTTTCTTCACAGCACTAAAGGACTGCAGGTTGCTTACTGTTCATAACCCTTTTCTTTATCATGAATAATGCTGGTGGAGGAAATGTATTTATTATTTCAGTTACTGACCACGATAGACTACTGATTTGAGGTCATGACCACTTTCAGTATAAAAGTGAGAATATTTTACGTAGAGGTGTTTTTTTTAAGATAGCATAGTATATTTGTGATTATCCTTAAGCAATAAACAAATATTTGGTGATTATATTTGGCGATTATCCTTAAACAATCAACAAATTGGCAACGCAATGCAAGGATACAGAGTAGCTGACATCTCATTCATCCTGGCTATAATGCCTAGTAGGAGAAGCACTTTATCAGACATCCTGACACGTTACTAGGAAGCCCTGTGTGTCACCGTATCATGCAGCACATGTGTTCTATGTATTTTCTATGTATTTCCCTGGCTATTGTGAATCTTATACTCACATAAAATATAACATGATTGTATAGCTTCATTCACAGCTAAAGCTTGTATGGCACCAAGTTGTCTTTCAGTAGTTCACCAGGTAATCAGATCATCACAGTAGCAGAAGAGGAATGAGACAGTGAGACACTTAGAGTGCAGGCCGTGGCACAGAGTTACAAGAGAAATCATGGGTTTCAGTGATAGGGTTTTAGAGACACAGGACAGACGATGACTACAGGTA